GCAGGAGCAGGAGCAGGAGCAGGAGCAGGAGCAGGAGCAGGAGCAGGAGCAGGAGCAGGAGCAGGAGCAGGAGCAGGAGCAGGAGCAGGAGCAGGAGCAGGAGCAGGAGCAGGAGCAGGAGCAGGAGCAGGAGCAGGAGCAGGAGCAGGAGCAGGAGCAGGAGAGGGAGCAGGAGCAGGAGCAGGAGCAGGAGAGGGAGAAAACCTGAGAAAGGGAGTGCGAAGGGTAACGGAAAGACAGCAGTGGACAGAGAGTGGAAGAGGGCAGGATATTCGAAAAGGACCGTGCAAGAAAGGTTGAGGCAGAGATCGAAGGTAGCCGACGAACAAGCCTAGCACAAGGCAATCACGGATATTGATCAAGGACACAAAACCTGGAAGCATCTCTGACATGTTAGTAGAAACAATGGCGGCAGAAGACGCTTCAGACAAATCCAAAGCAAAGTGAGTGATTTTGACTGGACACGAATCCTTGTTTTGGTTCCATTGACGTAGCCCAAAGGTCATTCGAAGATCTTGGGATATCCGAGCAGCTTGCAGAGACATGCCGTGCCCTGGTACTTCTATGCGTGCATCCTTCCTCCCTCCTCTCCTCTCGCACCTTCATCGCGATGCCTAAAGGCGTCCTAGCATGCGTCTTGATCGACGTCGCTCGCAGGGTTGGAAGCATCCAACGGACATCCAGCAGGAGTCAATCCCATGGGCGTTGCAGGGAAGAGATCTGATAGCGCTGGCTAAGACAGGTAAACATGCATGCCAAAACTCATTACCCATTCCTTCCGTTCTCTCAACGACTCTCTCTCCTCCTCCTGCGCCTCGTCTCCGTTCTTGCACTTTTCACCTGGATTACTACCTGCATCTTTGACTCGTCACAAACCAATGATCATCGATGTCCGCATCACTCCGCTCGTCTCCCAGCTCCAACTCACCTGAGCTCGCAGGTTCTGGCAAGACAGGGTCATTTGCCTTGCCGATCATTGAAGCGTTGTTGAAGAACCCTGCACCGTGATGCTTCTGAAGTTGCTGTAAATGCTGTTGTTGATGATGTGCAAGCAGATATTTTGCAGTTGTGATCTCACCCACACGCGAGTTAGCGTCGCAGATTGAGGAACACTTTCAGGTATAGCAGAAGGAGAGGGGAAAGGGGATGGGGGAGGGGGAGGGAGACAGAGAGAAAGGGAGCAGGAGACAAAGAGAGGAAGGATGGTTGTTTCCTTGAAGATCTGAAGGACATGCCAGGCGCTGGGGAAGGGGATCGGACTCAAGACCGTCTCAGTGATCGGAGGTGAGAAGTGAAAACAGAAAAGGCAGAAAGAGAACAAGAAGCAGCAACAGCAGGAGAGATTGAAGATGTAGAGGAGATATCGAATGAGAATCACAATAGGAGAAGGGCTGTTTACAAAAAGCTGATGACCACAACCAAAAAAGAGATATTAGAAGAGACCCAGAGGCAAGCAGGTGGGAATCGGCTGAACATTTTTCAACAGGAATAGACGAAGTGACACAGATGAGAATGCTGGCAAAAACTCCTCATGTGATCGGTAAGAAGCTGATGACGACAATGTTTGTAATTGTGTTGGTGTTGGTGTTGGTGTTGGTGTTGGTGTTGGTGTTGGTGTTGGTGTTGGTGGTATTGTTGTTAGTGATGATGATGGAGAAAACGAGGATGAGGAAACGAAGTGGTTCGTTGTGATAGTACTTGTAGCGCTGCTTGTGCAGACGCGGGGGTTGAGACGGCGGGGGTGTTGACTGACTTATTCGAACTTCAGTTGGAACTCCCGGTCGTCTCCTGTATATGCTTCAGGTGAAGATGAAGCTGAGAGATGGCGAAAGGCGGGAGAGGGGAGAGGAGGGGAGGGGAGGAGAGCAAATCGAATCTCGCAGAGTTCAATCCATATACAATCAATGACCTTGTGGTTTGCAGAACATGAAAGGTTTCAGTCTTCGAAATATCAAGTACCTCGTGCTGGATGAGGTGAAGTAAAGGAAGAGGAAGAGGAAGAGGAAGAGGAGATTAGGGAGGAGGCGGAGGAGAAAGAGGTGGTGGTGGTGCAGGTGGGAGCTGAGCTGGGGGAATTGAGGAGAAGAGAGAGCGAGGGGAAAAGGAGAGGAGGGAGGAGATGAGAGAGGCTGACAAATGTTTGTTTGTCAGGCTGACAGGTTGCTGCACGAGGATTTTGAAAAGCAGCTCGATCAAGTAAGACGCGATGACAACTCGATGACTTCCAATGTTTCAACTCGCCGCTTGTTACAGCAGTTTTCTCCTGAAACCCTCCTGCTCTTCCTTTCCCCTCTTTTCCTACCTGCTCTTCTCCTCTCCCTTCTCTCTCCCTATCCCACGCTCGTGTCCTCTCTTTCTCCCCTTCGCTCTCTCAAACTCTACTTTCCTTCTTTCTTCTCCTCTCCTGCTCCTTCGTTTCAACCTCTTGGGCAACCTTCCTCCTCACCTTTGCTTCCCCTAGATCCTCGAAGTTCTTCCGAGAGAGCGTCAAACTTTCCTCTTCTCCGCCACTATGACGTCCAAAGTCCAGAAGCTGCAGCGAGCGTCGCTGAGAGATCCGATCAAGGTGAGCAGACTGTTTGTCTCTCAGAGCTGGTGCTGGTGCTGGTGCTGATGCTGGTGCTGGTGCTGGTGCTGGTGCTGGTGCTGGTGCTGGTGCTGGTGCTGGTGCTGGTGCTGCTACACCTCCAGTTCTCTCCTCTCTCCTCTCTTTCTAATGCTCGGCTCCCCTCAACAGAAGCTGATTCCTCATTAGCCATATAGTCGATCTCTCCTCCTCTGATTTCGCATCTTTCTCCCTCCTCCCTCCTCCCTCCTCTCTCCTCTCTCCTCCCTTCTCCCTCCTCCCTCCTCTCCCTCTTGTTCTGATCACCTTGGCTCCAGGTGGAGGTAGCCAGCAAGTACTCAACTGTCGACACCCTCAAGCAGCAGTATATGTTTGTACCTCACATGCACAAAGGTTGGCTGACGAAGTTGAATGGAGCGTGACTGACTTGTGTCGTAGACACTTACCTTGCGTACCTTCTGAACGAGCTAGCGGGTGATAAACAACATTTTCTTCATAGATGCTTGTCCTTTTCTTCCTTCGTTTCTTCCTCTCTTTCAATTTCTCTCTTTCTCTCCTTGTCTTTGTTTTTCTCTTTTCTTTTCTTTTCTTTCTCTCTTTCTCTCTTTCTCTCTTTCTCTCCCTGCTCCGTCGTTGCTCTTCTCACATATGTTGAAGGCAACACGACGATTGTCTTCTGTTGCACTTGTTCCAACGCCCAGAGGATTTGCATCATCCTGCGCAGGTGAACCCCTACTGACATCCTCGCTGTCATAATGATATGATATGATGTAATACGATACAATATGATATGTCTGTCCCCGCACAACACCTTACCAAGAGCCATTGAGATGGTCTGACTTTGTTGCCTTCAGTTTGGGTTTCAAGGCGCTGGTGATCCACGGGCAGATGAGTCAGAACAAGCGCCTTGCCGCGCTGAACAACTTCAAGGTGAGAGGAGGAGCTGGAGATGTTGGAAGGGAGACGATCTAGTGGTGGTTGACATGGAGGAAAGAGGAGAGAAGAGGGAAGAAACGAGGAAAGGGAGACAGGAAGCGGGTCAGGAAGAAGCAGGATGAGCAGCCGAGGAGCAGGGGCAGGAGCAGGAGCAGGAGCAGCAGCAGGCGCGGGGGCAGGGGCAGGGGCAGGGGCAGGGGCAGGGGCAGGGGCAGGGGGCAGGGGCAGGGGCA